GACGGACGGACGGACGGGACACGGGGGAGGACATGGACGGGGCGGGTACCAAGACCCCGGGCGGGTGCTAACAGTCGCAGTACGTGTGCAGGGGCGGGGCGGGCCGGGCACCGCCTCCGGCGGAGCTCACTGGAGGACTGCACAGCCACCAGAGAGACTCTGGCGCTGGTGCGAGTCCCGCTCACCGCTGTGGACGTCGAGCGGCTGCGCAAGCCGCAGAGGAAGGAGCGCAGGTAGATGCGGCTGGCTGGGAGCCTGGGCGCGGCTGGACGGCGTGACCGTAGCGGCGAACTGGTCAAAGCTCGGGGACCGTGCCAACCAGGCGACCAAGGCGCGCCGTACCAACCAGGCGGGCAGGGCGGGGCGTAGCGCCCGACTCCCACCGCCCCGCCTTCCTCACCTGGGCCGGGGGAGCGGGCCACGGAAACGAAAGTAACTCGGGCTCTTAAGCCCACAGGCCCAGGAGGCCGCTAGTTCCCAGGCCGCGGGCTTCCCGGAAGGGGCGGGGCCTCGATGACGCGGCGCCTGGAGTGGGAGGGGCTGGAGGGCGGGAGTGGGCCGGGCCTCTCAGAGACGCGTGGGGTAGGTGGGCGGGGTGCTAGGTGGGCGGGGGTGCGGAGCCTCCCAGGTCGGAGGAGGTGGGCGGGCCTCTCCGGCGGGGTGCCAAAAGGTGGTCGGGGAAGGGGAGTGAGGAGACCATGGGGTGCGGGAGGGTGGGCGAGATGCGTGGGAGGTCTGTGCGGCTCGCTCTTACAGGAAGCCGCACCGTGGGTGAGGCGGGGAGCGCGCCCGGAAGTCGGAAAGCGCGCGGCCTGCTGTCCATCACCCAGGGAGAGGTGCCAGATTCCACTACTCTGCTTGAGGTAGTGTTAACTCTAGTTATGAGGACCGACCGACATCTGCGGTCCACCCACGATTATGGTGACTGTAAAACAGATGTTTCCTCGTTATTGTTTTTGGTCAGGATAATGGGTCATTAGCAATGGTGTTGTCCTAACAAGGTTATTAAAAGACCCTGGCTAGGACTTGCCAGCCCTTTTAAAGGGATGTATTGTTGCACGTGGGGTCGCAGATTGCGGAACAATCAGACCTTTTTTTTCAGCATTGTCTTAATTAGAGCTGGCAAGTAGATAAAGAGTGATCCCACAGCCACGGGGACAGAGACTTGGTCTACACCCAAGACATCTCTGGTTATCAGTGACATTTGCTTTTGTGCAGTATGGCACACCCTGTCTGGGTTCAGAAAAAGATAAGTTGCATCCTCTTCACCTAAGCATTTGACAAAAGCCTCCTGAGAATGGATTTGGTGGTCTTGGGTGATTCATTCTTTGTTACTTGCTGTTTATTTGACTTTTATTTGCTCAGAGCCTGTTTATTTGGGGCAGAGTGTGAAGCTATTTTAATCAAGGAACTCTGCAGACGTTCTTTACGTGGTTAGAAACCTATTCTTTCTTGACTTACCAGCCGAAGAATCCAAAGTACAGAGTGAACTTTAAAATGTAATGACTTAGTCTTCCTCTTATTTTGAAACCACCAGGAAAGTTACTGCTAAGGAGGAAATGGTGGCCTGTTAGGTGGAATATCACAGCTCTATTGTATACCAAAAGTCAAGACTAGTCTTGTTTAAAATGAGATTTGGGGTATCTTTTTTTGAGATAGGGGTTCTCTGTAGCACCAGCTGGCCTGGAACTCACTAGTCCAGTCTGGCCCCAATCTAGATCCGCCTGTCTCTGCCTCCTGGGTGCTGGGATTAAAGGGTGTGGACCACTAGGCCAGCTGGAGTGTCTGATTTTTATTACTGATAAAACAGCAGTACTGATGATCAACTTCAGTTTTCAATTTTATCTTTCTTCTCTGTAGTAGCTATGTTTTCAAGATTGTATTAAGAGAAATGCCTAAGATAACTTACACACCTGGTGCCCAGCGCGCCCCGTAGGGCAAAGTACTACTTGGTACTTACTAATCCATAACATACTGTGACCAGAATTATCTGGAAATTTAAACAAAGCTGTAGCTTCCCATGCTTTGGTTGGATATTATGGCAGAAGTGACTGACTCTATTAATGTGGATAATGCTGATGGTTTTTTTCTACCATAGATTTTCCCGAGTTTTTAAAACTTAGTCTATGTATCTTCGCCATGTTTCTAACTGTAGGATACTCATTTAATAGGGGTAAGAAAGGCTGCAAGTCTTGATTTTTGCATCTGGAGTTTTCAAAAGATAAAGTAGTATTTGCCTTTCTAGAAAAATAGCCTGTGTGTGAGAACTGGTTATGGACATTTGAGAGAAGTAAATCAAACCATTCACTTCTGATGAATCATTTAACCTCAACTTGTAGTTTCTTCATTTTTAAATTGTAATAAGGCTAATGCAATTTACTTCATAGGGTCATAATGTGCTAATGTATTGATTATGCTTTGTTAACTTTATTTAAACTTTGTCTTTTGCTGGTTGTTTGACTCTTCATTGCTCAGAATTCTTTGTGGACAAAGCACAGGCTGCTATAATAAAAAATCCTTTGAGACGTTCTCTGATCATGTCAGATACCTGATTAAAGTCAGAATTCTATTAGGGAAGTAGTGGGGTAGTGGGGCACAGGTAGGCAATGGACATTTTCTGTTCTGCTCTTTTTTTTTTTTTTCTTTCCCCAGCAGGTCTCACTATGCAACTCTGGCTGGCCTGGGACTCACTATGTAGACCTGGCTGATAGGTCTCAATATTTAGACCTGGCTGGCCTGGAACACGCTATGTAGACCTGGCTGGCCTAGAATTCATGGAGACCCATCTGCTTCTGCCTCCCAATTGTGATCTTCTTAAGCATGACTATCATTGAAAAAGTAAAAGAAAGTTAATTAGGTTAAGAAAGGAGTCTGGAGCCTGAGCCAGACATGGTGGTATATTCTAATCCCAGCACTCAGGAGGCAGAGGTAGGGGCAGGCAGATCTCTGTGGAATCAAAGCAAGCCTGTTCTATATAGCGAAGTTATTTATCTTGTCCTAGAAGGTAAATTGTGAATGTTCTTGTTCTTCAAGGAGTTATCCTTTCAAAACATAATTTTGTTATAAATGTAATTTGTTATTACAGAAAATATAGTAAAAATATAAAAAAGAGTCAGGCATAATGGCCTACAAGTATAATCCCAGCACTCAAGAGACTAAGGTAACAGGATTGCAAATTCCAGACCAATTTTCAGTTAGTTTCAATGGGACAAATTCACTTCCCTGTGATAACCATTTATCCAAAACCACTACCAAATCTCATTAAAATGACACAATATTAGTTGAAATTAGTTATAGCCTGTTAGAACAGATCAGCATGCCTTAGTTACTTTGTAACATTGCTTGATAGTATGTCTTTCTTAAATTTGGTATTTTTGCAACTCTTGGGTCTCCTCCAACTAAACTACCCTCAGGGAGGGCTCTCCTAAAATATGTTGCTTATTAACTTGAAGCCAAGCACTTGCCTGGCTCGTGTGAGGTTGTGGGTTCAGTCTCCATCTTTTCAGAAAACAGCCACATAAAATTGAATCTTTCAAAGGGAGAAAAAAAGCAGTAAAAACATAAATCATTGAATATCCATCAAAAGAGGCACAATATTAAGATCAAACTAAACTAACGAAGCACAGGACTATAGGGAGAACCGACTTGGATCAGGAGCCAAGCTCCCAAAGTACAGTGGACCCACTGGAGGCCTAGTCCATGCCACTGGGAGTTCTGCAGTGCCAGGCAGTGTCCACAGGTTTGAGGAGGCCTGGCCTAGATCCAGTAGAACTCAGAACTTGAATCTGCCTATTTCAGAACATGGTTGTAGTTTCTTTGCTGTCTGTGAGTACCTTTTTATGTCTTAAGCATTCACATGCAGCATCATTTTTTAGGACTTTTAGCTGTATTTCAGAGTGGGTTTGGGTCATAATAACTCTCCTCTATACATGCAAATTGTTCTACAGTCTTTTGTTGTTCTGTATAATGTTACCAGGAACATCACTGTTAATAACTTTGTCAGCATCCCCATCTGACTCCTCAGAGTAAACAACTACTGAGTCAAGGAGTTATCCTTTTAAAACATAATTTTGTCATAAATGTAATTTGTATTTATTATAGGAAATACAGTAACAAGTATAAAGAAGAATCAGGCATGATGGCCTACAAGTATAACCCTAGCGCTCAAGAGGCTGAGGTAACAGGATTGCAAATTCCAAACCAGCCTAGGTGTACAGCAAGACACCATCTTTAAAAAAAAAAAAAAGTGTAAAGAAGAAAAATTTCTAAATTGCCCTACGATGTAAATAAAATCTTAGTTAATATTTTGGTATCTTTCCCTACATCTTTTTTTTTCCTGTACATATATCTATATCTAGTCAGATGCATTTTTTTTAACATTTTACTTTTATTTTTACATTAAAAAAATTAAGTGTGTCGCCTGCATGTATATAAGTGCACCTGTCCCATGCAATGTCCATGGAGGTCAGAAGAGAGCATCAAATTCTCCTGGAACTGGAGTAACAGGCAGTTGTTAGCTGCCTTGTACATAATGGGAATCGAACCCAAATCTTCTGCAAGAGCAACCAGTGCTCTTAACCACTGAACCATCTCTCCAGCCCTGCATGTTACTTTTACAGATTTATTCTTGTAAGATGGGGCAGACCGGACAGTTCTACATGCCCAGTAGAAAATAGAAAATGAGAAATCAGGCCTAGGACAGATGTTACATCTTTATGCCTTTGGTCTCCACACCCTCCCTCTATTCTAGTTCTCATGGATGGTCAGTAGAGATGTGCTAGGTAGAGCAGGCCTAGTGACAGTGGCATTCTAAGAGCCCAGTGAAAGGGGAGTGGTGTAAATAAAGTTAGCAGCAGGGCCAGCTAACCAGAGCCAGAGCCATATAGCAGGCAATCAAGTTTTCACATGTTACTTTCTCATGAAATCCTTACCAGTCCTGTGGTGGAGTTGTTAGTATTTAAGATGAGGAAATTGAAGCTTAAGTTCCTTAAAAGTCACAAGGCAAATAGAGTTCATACTCTTAGGAGGAAGGCTCCTTATCTGTGTTTTCTTTATGGCTCCTGCTATCTCACTTTCAGCTCCTGCCCCATCCCTGCCCCTCAGCCTTCATATCTTTATCTGGGCATCTCCTGCTCCTACCCTTCTTCTGTGCTTCCTGCTTGGCAGTGCCTTTGCCCTGGAGAGGATTGCCTGTGGCGTCCATCTAATGGATGTGTGTATGTTATTTTTACAGATTTATTCTTTGAAAACAATTTCGGTTGGCTATATAATCTATAAATGTGCTATAATCCACTTAACTATAGATCCTTTGTTTTCAAACAACTAAGTAGTTCTTTTTGAAAAAAAAAATTATTTGCTTAATGATTCAGTTCTGCTAGGTACTAGAGACAAGTGCCCAAGATAGTTTTGTGCAGGCATCCTCTAGGTAACCCCCTCCCACAGAGCACTGGACAAGATTACAGTCAACCCAGGAGCTTTTGGAGTGCCTCTGTCCAAGGTATTTATAAAACAACTCAGGGCTGGAGACATGGCTCGGAGGTTAAGAGTACACTGGCTTCTCTTCCAGAAGACCCGAGTTTAGTTCCTAGAACCCGCATGGCAGCTAACAACCATCCTTAACTCCTGTTTCAGGGGATCCTATGCCCTTTTCTGGCATCCATGAGAAGGACATACACATGGTGCGTTTATATATACACAGGCAAGAAAGAGCACTCATACACATACAATAGAAATAAACAACAGCATAGAACCTAAGCACAGCCTCCCACATAATTTAAATCATCTCTGAATTACTTATAATACCCAATGGAGAGCAAATGGTTGCTATATTTGTATTGTTCAGGGCACAATGACAAGGAAAAGCGTCTTTGCATGTTCAGTGCAAATGATCTTTTTTAGAATATTTTCTGCACAACCCATGGGTGTAGATGGCATCCTACTTGCTGAGTATGGTAGGTGTATTACCTGCGCACTATACTCCTGTTGATAGAATAGAACATCACCATCGCCCCTAGAATGTTGTTGCATGCTCCATCTCAATCACTCTTCACCTTTGACCCAGCGTGTCAGCTTTCTTTTTCAGCCATAGACTATTCTAGAACTTCACCTAAAAAGAATCATACAACACATATCCTATATTATTCTCTGAGTTAGCATTTCTTCCATGCTGTTTTGTGTGTTGGTAGTCCAAATTCTTTTCATTGATGATAATATTTCATTGTGTGAATATGCCATAGATTGTTTAACAGTCTCTTGGTGGTGGACAGCTGTTGTAAATAAAGTTGGTCTGAATATTGCACAAGTCTTTAGATACACATTTTCTTTAGGGGTTAGAATTTCTAGGTCAGGAATGCATGGGGTGTGTTTAATTTTATGAGAAACTACCAAACCTTTCTCCAAAGTGGTTGTGCCATTTACACTCCTACAGGTTAGCGTGTGTGAGAATTCTAGCTGCTTTGCATGTTTGCCAGTCTTTGGCACGGCCAGTCATTGATTTTGGATTTCCTGGCAGATATATGTTAGAATCTCACTGTGATTCTTCCTGGGATTTTATTTTTCTTTTCATTTGGGGGAAAATTGGTGACTATGAATGAAAGGAAGAAAAGGGAAGAAGGATAAAGCCAGTGTTTCTGTTCTGAGGCCTGACACATGCATCGAACATAAACAATCTCTTAAGCCCTCATTTTTTTGTTAAACAAGGGCTCACTATATTGTTTAGGCTGGTCTGGAACTCGCTCTGGAGTCCAGGCTAGCTTCAGATTCTATCCTTCTGCCTTAATGTCCCAGGAGTTTGGATTAGAGGCATGTACCATGTGGTTTTTTTGAATCATGATCTTTTTACACTGAGTTATCCTCTCTGTTTTCTTTACAGGGCGTAGCACTGAAGTTAAAAAAAAAAAAAGTGGTGTGTTTGGAGAGTCTTCTGAGCATTCAAGATGCAACCAGACATGTCCTTTGATGACATTAAAATGACATCCAATGACCTCCTGGAGAAGGAAGATCTAGACAGCGGAGGCTTCGGGAAGGTATCCTTGTGTTTGCACAGAAGCCATGGATTTGTCATCCTGAAAAAAGTGTACACAGGACCCAACCGTGCTGAGTAAGTGGGGAGTAGAGATGGGTGGAGCCTGGGCCATAGATGAGAAATGTAGGGTAAAGAAGTCAAGAAAGATAGAAACCAGAGTGATGATTCTCATACATGGCTGATGGGAATATAAATTGGCACAGCCACTTTGAAGAAAGGTTTTTTTAATTTCTCATAAAGCAAAGTGGGTGTAGTGGTGCATTTGTTTAATCCCGGCACTTGGGAGGCAGAAGCAGGCAGATCTTGTTAAGTGGAGGCCAGCCTGGCCTACCTACCAAGTTCCAGGCCCCCTGGGGCTACAGGGAGATCCTGTCTCAAAAAAAAAAAAAATCAGAGCCAGATAGCATAATTAGAGCAGATAATTATGGAACAAGTGTTCAGGCAAAGAGGAGGCCATGCCTATACAAAGAAGCAGGAGTGATGGAGCCAGTGAAAAGAACGCAGGTGCCATTGTATAAACAGACTTGGTAAAGACCAACCCGACATGCAAAACAAACAAAACAGGTAGATTCTGCAATGAAAAGTCCCAGGAACCCTCTGAAAGGAGAGGGCTCCTGTCCTCCTCAGACTGGTTTTTGAGAGGAGAGGCTAGCCTTTTTATTTTACTTTTCAACTCAGTCTTTACCAGACCAGGTTGCTTACCGTACTTTCCATTCATTGATCTGTATGTCTTGAGCACCTACTGCCCTTCCTAAGAAGAAGGAATACAAAGATGAGGAGAAAACCCTTTGCCTTCTAGAGTAGTCTTCCTGGAGGAGATCAGAGCAGGAGTGGGACAGAATCTGAGATGCAGCATTGAGGGGCACATGAGGTTCTTAGGCACCTGGGGAGAAGAGTTGGTCCTGCCCTCCTCAGCCTAGCACCTTTCCTCCCTATAGGTACAATGAAGCCCTGCTGGAGGAGGGGAAGATGATGCATAGACTGAGTCACAGTCGGGTGGTGAAGCTGCTGGGCATCATCATAGAAGAAGGGAACTACTCACTGGTAATGGAATACATGGAGAAGGGCAACTTGATGCATGTGCTAAAGGCTGAGGTAGGTGGAGCCTTCAAACACTCTGGGCCAGTGTGTCGGGCTAGCTACTGTTAGGTGTTCATTTATAGCTTCCTGGTTGGGAATTGTTCCATAGCTTAGAATTTTCTAAAGTCATCCCTCTTATGTCCTCTGGGCCTTTCCTAGCCCAAGGGAGCTGTTTCTCCCCACTCCACTACTTCTCCCATGTCATCATTTCGGAGTTCCCTCTTTACCATACCTACTAGTTTCTCTGATCCACAGTCTATAGGTGGCCCTATCTTCAGAAGTGCTTGGCCTGATCTGAGGCATGTGTGTAAGAGAGAACAAATTTGGGTAGATTGATGAAAGCTTGTATATTGTAAATGAAGATGCTGATTAACAAAATATGTACACTATATGTGACAATTAGAGGGGATAGAATATTAGCAATTTGAGAAACTTACTGTAAGATAAATATACAACATATGCTGCAAAACAGATAAACTTAAAAATAGGAAAATAAAACTTAATTTATGAAAACTAAATAGTTAAAAAATATTTTAAAATGATTTTTAAAAATTTACAAGTGTTTTGATAGTCTGTATATTTATTGGTATATTTATGTGTGTAAGTACCCTTGGAAGCAAGAAGAGGGCAACAGAGATAGAGCCTCCATGTGTGTGCTGGGAGTTGAACATGGGTTCTCTGGAAGAACAGCAAGTGTTTTTAACCCCTGAGCCATTTCTCCAGCCCCCCAAAATATTTTCTAAGTCTTATGGACCAATCACAATCAGTCTTGTGCTAGCTGTTCAGGAGCTCATAGTGGATACGACACAGGCAAGTGGAAGAAGCAGGAAAAAATGTGAATAGATGATGTGATGGTATTTGATAGGCATACCATGGTCTACTGTGAAACACAGGAGAAGTACCCACCCTATTCTGAGATGGGGAAAGGCTTCCAGCTAGAGGACAAGTAGAAGCAATTAAGGAGAAAGTGTTCCAGGCAGAGGACTGCCATGTGCAAAGGAACAAGAGGATGCCAGTTTTCAGGACTGCCAGTCACTGACTGGCCAGAGCACAGATTGCAGGTGAGGGGCTGCAGCATACCTGTAGGGAGGATGAAAAATGATCATATATACATTGCATTGTCATTTCACCACATTTCTCTCCTCCCCCAAACCAGGTAAGATCAACTTTTGTAACAGAGGTAGACATTTTGATCAGGAAATAAGTCATCTATGACAAGAGGCATTCCGTAGGGTCAGAGAATGATAAGCTTCACTGGTTAAAACTCAAGAGAAGCAGGAAGAGGATGGGAAGGGACAGTAGGGCTTGCTCACAGTGCTTTCCAAAAAAAATATGTACCAGTGAAGGCAGGAACAAGTCTCTGCTGCTGTTTCTAATTAATTAATTAATTAATTAATTAAATTTTGTAAATAAGGTCTTGCTACAATACCAGTTCTGATCTCAGACTTGTAGGCACATGTGATGTCTTGCCTTGGCTGCCTCAGAAGCTGGAACTACAGGCAGGTACCACCACACCTGCCTTCTGCTATTTTTTATGTTGTGGCAGTCACGCTATTGATGCTGTAGTTCAGTTATAGTGTAATATGGCTAAATATGGTTTGAGGGCTAAAGTTTGATATGATTTGGGAATCTAAGTTCTATCATCTCAACTTTTTCCTCTTTACCAATAACTGACACACACCAAGATATTTAGTAATCATTTTAATTTGTCCCCTGGTTATAATATTAAGAAAAACTAAAATTTTACCACTAAAATAGAAATGTGTATTTTTATACTAACGTTGAGGTTGATAGAACTAGAACATGATTTAGAGAGTAAGCTGAGACTCTACAAAGACCGAAAGTGTCTAATGCCAGGTCACTAAAGAAATACAAATTGACTTCAGCACAAATTTAGAATAATGAATGAGACATAGATTTTTATATAGTTATCATTATAGACATATTCCCTTGTATTCTTTTTTCTCTTATTATTTTACATGCACATTTTCCTAATGTTATTCATATATCTAATGTAGGTAACAATATTCTATGTTATGAGTATGCCATGAAAATGCCTTATTCATTCAAATAGTCTGACCACCATTCCAGATTTTTGGATTCAGTCTTAATAGTAATGGTAACTACATAATAATTATACTAATCATTAAATACTACTATTATAAATGTCATTGTTTTCAAGGAGTTTGTTTATGTAGTATTTTTATATCAACTAGATTGGCATGAAATGTTTATTTTTTCACTTGCAAAGCACAACAGCAGTACCCTGCAGGCCGTAGTGTGGGAACTTTGTTGAAAGGGACTTGCTCTGGTGACAACTGCGCTGCCGAACATCTGGTGGGAGGAAACCTGGTAACACTATCCTTATGCTCAGATCCCATCACTCTTGGATGGAGGAGTTGCTCTGGCCCATTGTGCTACTTTTTTGTTTTATAAACTTAATATTTTGTTTCAGATCAATATTCCACTGTCTGTAAAAGGAAGAATAATTATGGAGACTGTTGAAGGGATGTGCTACTTACATGGCAAAGGTGTGATACACAAGGACCTGAAGCCTGAAAATATCCTTGTTGACAGTAACTTTCACATTAAGGTAAACCACAGTCTATACACTTCCAGAAGTCTGGGTAACATCGGTTTGAATTTTCCATTGTAAATCCATTCTTGCAGGTGATTGATGGAAAAGGGAAATCTAGCTCAGCATTCAACAGAATGGTGCTGCCTAAAGGCTTCTACCATCGTTTCAAAGGACAGGGGCAGGCTTGATTGGGTTGGGAGATAATTGTAAGGATGTACTGGATGTCTTTTGGGGGGAAGAGTGAAAATGAATGGAAAAGTAAGAAAAACCTCTTCCCTAGAGTGATTTTCCTCTTCTGTTAGACTTTAACATGGAAGCCTTCAAAGGTTGCTGTGTTCACCCTGTAGTGTGTATCTGTCATTTTTCCCATGAAATCTTGTGACTAAGACTTTTCTACTTAGAGAGATAAAGGGAGTGTGGAAGTGTGGAAAATATTCTCAGAATTCATATGTGGCCTAAGAGTCACAGTCAGCCATTTGGACCTCAAAATTCTCCACTTTGTGGAGCTAGGGGCGTGGCTCAGTAATAGAGTACTTGTCCGGCACACCTAAGGCTCTAGGTTTAGTTCCAGTACCTCAAAATAAAGATCTCTGCTTTGAAATTTGGCTGATTGAACATTTGTATTTGTTTACATCTTTACATGTTTATATTTTAAAAACTCAGTTTCCCTTTGAAAATTTTCCATTATACAAAGGTAATAAGGAAAAGGGGACCTGTCTTATGTCTTTTGGGAGCTACTTTTAACTGGGGAAGAGGCAGTGCATGTACCTGGTCTTGGCAGCTAGAATTGAAGTTGGAAGAGTTGAAAGGCAGCTAGCCCTACCCAAGGTGTAGCTGTGGTGGAGCTTGGGGTTTCATACCTAGAGCCACACAAACAACAAACAGAATAAAAAGAACTTGAGAGCCAGGCGTAATGGTGCATGCCTTTAATCCCAGCACATAGAAGGCAGAGGCAGGCAGATCTTTGTGAGTTCGAGGCCAGCCTGGTCTGCATACAGAGTTCCAGGCCAGCTGGGGCTACAGGGAGACCGTGTTTCAAAAAGACCTCCTCCCCACCCCCACCCCCCCAAAAAAGAACTTGAAAATGCTGGGCCCTAGGGTAGAACCAGGACCTGCCTGCAAGATCTGCTTCCTTTACTGTTCCTGTCTTGGATGATGTTATTTATTCCAGTGACTTTTAAGATGGTTTATTGTAAATTAACAACTCACCCCTGATAATTGTGGGTTAAAAATCTGAGTTTCAGATATGCTCATGCTCTTGCTTATCTCCAAATGCTTCCTGAAGACCGGAGACCGTCACCTTGGATTCTTTGTTCACTGTCCTGTTCTGCCATTTCCCCCCCCTTTCCCCTTTGCTTTGTGTCTGACTTTGGTATTTTTTCTCTGCTTTTCTTTGTGTTTTGTTTTCCTCCTCCCTATCCTGTCTTCTCTTAGGTACAGGCTGCCAACTCAAAACAAGCAACAACACTGTTCTTGCCCTCAGGGTAGCTTTGGGATCTCTGGAAACAACCATGGTCCTGGATGCCATTGGGCAAATAGAAGGTGTGGTACTTGGTCTTCATATGCCTTGGTTCCCCTAGACCCAGAAAGAGCTCCTCCCTCCCCACCCCCCAATAAAAGCAAAATGTTTAATTTTTTTTTTTTCATTTAAAAAAAAAGTTGAGGAGCTAGAGAGATGGCTCAGCAGTTTAGAGCACTGACTGCTCTTGCAGAAGACCTGGGTTTGATTCTCAGCACCCACATGGCGGCTACAACCTGTCTTTAACTCCAGTTCCAGGGGAGCCCCTTCTGACCTCCGTGCATTGCAAGACATGGGTGCACTCACATATATGCAGGCGATACACTCATACACATAAAAGAAAAAAAAAAGTTGAGAGGCCAGAATTTTATGTGAACATTCCTTTCAGGGAGATTTTCTGGATGGGTGAGGGAATGCTCAGTCTCTCTGAGTCTACTGAGGTTGCTATTTTACATAGGCCCAGTGCAACCAATAGAAATTGACTGTGCTGCACATGTCCTGGGAAAGCCCCAAATCCGATTTATGGAACTCAAGCCTGATTTGCTTGTAGCTTTCACATAGTAATTTTTTTGGCCTTAATTCTTTGGCAGATAGCCGATCTTGGTGTGGCATCCTTTAAGACATGGAGCAAACTGACTAAAGAGGAACACAATGAACAGAGGAAAATGAACAGCACCTCTAAGAAGAATGGCGGCACCCTCTACTACATGGCACCAGAGCACCTGAGTGACATCAATGCCAAGCCCACTGAGAAATCAGATGTGTACAGCTTTGGCATTGTGCTTTGGGCAATATTTGCAAATAAGGAGCCCTATGAGAGTAAGACATTTATAAATCTGGGGATTTTGATAGTAACCAGAACTGTTCCTGAGGGCTGGCGAGATGATGCAGTGGGTAAAGGTGCTCGCCACCAAGCCTAACAACCTGAGTTCAATCCCCAGGACCCACATGGTAGGAGAGAACTGACTCCTGCAAGTTGTTTTCTGATCACCACACATAATCTGTGGCACATGTGTGCCAACACACATTCTCTCTCTCTCTCTCTCTCTCTCTCTCTCTCTGTTTCTG